AATAGTTATAGATCTAAAGCTAGCCCTAGATTGATACGCGTTCAGCCACATGGCCAACGAGCGATCGCCCTGCCTAGGCTCTGTACGGTAATTTTCCAGGGTTTGGTCACAGTCGGATCGCCTCTCTTCCTCTCACTCTCCCTCTTCTCCCTTTCTTTCTTTCTCCAAAAAAGAAAGAAAAAGGGACGCTGCCTACTATCTGGTGGGATTGAAGGAATAGAGGACTGGGTAGGTATGTACATATGCATGTATGCCACTATCTATGTCCGTCCGGCCGGCAGAGAGAGAATCAGGGTATATATACACCTGCTATGCATGGATGTACGTTAGGCCGCCTAGGTTATCATAAACATCCTGTCCCCCGTGCCGGGTATCAGATGCTGCGCGACGACAGCAGGGTCGTCGCCGTTGACGGAACCCAATTGTGAAGTATAGCACTTCTCCGTGTAACAACACCGGCGAGGAACGACATTCGGCATCGAGTTGTTTGTTCCCCCAGGCAATGGAAGCCAAAATCCAGGTTGCTGGTAACTCACGCCGTGGGAACATCTCCCAGGCTCGAGGCAGTGCTCGCGCAAATTTCCCACATGCAGTATTCAGTTGTTTTAGATTCATCGCCTGCGAGGCCCCGAAGCAGATGCATGCTCGCATGCAGCATTATCTATGCTTTCTTTCCCGTCCCTCGCCCCTCGCATTGCCTACGCATCTAGCGGCATATAGATCTCGTGCTATCGTTACTGTCGGATCGATTCCCAACGGGGTGGCTTACTGTGGATACAAAACGGGGTGACCGCATGTTGTGGAAGAGAGCCTCAATGCTCACTGCAATGCTGTGCCATGTTCATGCCATGCACGACAGTCCGTTCATCTACGCCAGTATAAACCGCCTTGGCCTAGGCCTGATACCGGAGGGAGGTGAGGAGAAAAAGAGAGAGAAGGGAAGGGAAGGGACGGAAGAGAGCGCATCATCGTGTAGTGTTAAAATGGATGGTCGGATCTCAACTTTTTCCTCGGTGTTCTTCATCATAACCGATCCCCTTCCGAGGCCGCTCGAAAGCAAGGCAGTCCGCAGCCTAGTAGGGGAGAATGCTGCGTCGCGGCAGGATATGGGAGCACCGTTGAGCACGCGGCAATTTCAGCGGAAGGCGATCCTGCCCCGCCACTCTTGTTCGCCTTCGCCCGCGTCGCTGTTTGAAGTGAGTGCGCGGCATATCATCTTTCTGGAACGGGCTCTAGACAATCGACACACTACGAAGTTTCGAAACACCGCGGCACACTAGGCTCCAGACTAAACGGGTCGCGCCTCGTCTAGTTCTCCATGTTCCACATCTTTCTTTGCTGGTGAATCCGATTTTAGCATCTCGTGCCCCGGTGGTTCTACAAAATCTCACCCCGCGCAACCCAGGCCTCCCTGAGCTCCTCACCGGTATCTGAGGAGCGGTCAATTTTGTTCAATTTGTGCGACAGATCCAGATTTATCTAGACCTATCTACTTGACGCATGTGCACACCGAGCGAGGAGAATTCGTCAAACTGAATTGTACTCGACTTGAATGCCGCGAAAGCAGGGTAGGTAAGGTGTAGGTGGGGTAGCTTGGTGAGAGGTTGTAAGTGCCCTGAATTCGGTTCGGGATCTCACTTCGAATACGTAGCACTTAAACAAATCCTTCATTAATCCTTTCTCTCTCGCTCCTTTACGGAGGGCGAGACAAGCCCGATCTAATCCGTAGCGGACAAACCCAACCTCGAGCGTAGGTGTAGGCTGCTGTCGCCAGCCCTTGCGTTGTTCCTTCGAGCCTGTGCGTACGACAGCCCTCGACAGCCCGTTTCGCGGAGTTGAAGACGATTTTCCTCGCCTCCGGGAGTTGTCGTCAGAAAAGGCTCATCGAAATCTCCTAAGATGACAGGGGAATCCGCCATGACGGCTTGCGCACTTGCATGACCCAGAAGTGGTCTAACGCACAGCGGACAGCGGCTATGCAAATCTCACGTCTGTACCCAATTAAGTCCGCGCTACCCCATGCTCTCTAAATACCTTATGCTGCCACTGGAAGGATTTTAGGTGTCGTGTATAGGTATGTGAGCGTGTGTACGAGAGGTATGTATGTGGTATGTGCATACATGCGTAACGGCGGTAGATGTTAGGCTACATGTACACGACCAAGACGAAGACTACCCTCCAGATTCTTGCCGTCGTCTTCCGCGACTTTTACCCTCAGGGTCCAGGTATATCAACGACAAAGTCGCAGGTGCTGTACAATCCCACGTCTAGTTAGCTCTACGCAACCGCCTGTGACCGGCCTCTCCGAGAACGTGGGAGTTGGCTCTCGAGATCGTCCTGGTACGACGCATCCTTCCACCGACAAGCAAACACTACTTCCGCCAAGAGCTATTCCTGCTTGTATTTGTACGGTACGGAAGTGACTTAAGAATCTACGGGGGGTTATGGTCAAGGGTATACACGTCTACGGTTGAGCGGCGAAGACCGAGTGAGGGTTATGCCACATTAGATTAATTCAACCCAGAAGTCGAGCGAGAGAGAGAGAGAGAGGGAGAGAGACAGAGGGAGAGGGAGAGAGAGGGAGGGAGGGGGGCCAGGGCTGTGTCAACGACATGGCGTGGGCACGTGGGCTTCGCCATTTATCTCGCTTTTAGCAAGGACGTCGAGAGGATTCCACCTCTGTCCCGTCACGAAGGTGAATCCAAGGAACACCTTCATCAGCTTCGTGTTGCACCAGCCGCTTTTGCGACCCTCCTACGGTGTCGACCAAGATTCCCCCCTCCCCACCGCTTCCCGCCTGTCCAATCAACTATGTCCACGTCGACAAGCATCACCACCACCACCATCACCACCACTTTATTTCACTGTGAGGGGGAAGAAATCGGGCGACAAACCAGGCTTAACAAGCACCGGCTAGTGGAGAGGCCGAAGGGCACTGGAGAGATTCGCGATGATTACTGGGCCGGGGAAAAAAAAACCGCTCAGCATTCTTAGTAATTCTCTGTGCTGTGTTGTTGGAACGGGAGACCGCAACGTACGTACCGCTGCTAGGCGACATTATCTCAGAAAAGCAAAAGAAAGGCATTTTGAACAAAAATTTAAGGCGATGAAAATGTCTCTCCTATAATTGGCTTCGGGAACCCCCAATCTCGTACGGTATGCGCTTAAATTGATGTGTTTGAATTGATCGGTTTACTATTTATATTACATTATATTACGTTTCTACACATACGTGTGCCTTATGGAGGCATATGTGCTACATATGCATGTTATACACTGCTATACGCGACTGGCCCCCTAATTTGCCCACGTAGAAGAAAGAGGGGCGCGGGTGTGAGCTGTTGGCAGTCTCAATATGAAGGGGTCCTCTGCATCCTTCTCGGGCGGAAGATCTATAGTAGGTGGCTCATCCAATGCCGGCAAGCCCAGCGAATTTCAGGGCTGGTAAAAGTGGGCGTTGAATCAGAGGGACAACAAGCGTTGAATTGTGGCGTCGAAATATCACCAGGCTTACGAGGTCTCCCCCCCCCCCCGGCAGGCCCCAATCAGACCGAGAAGCTATATGTATAGCGTGTTTTCTAAGTTGACTATTTGCTGGCCCAATCAAGAATTAGAACGTGGATGGATTCCACGCGCGATATAGCTCCAACGAACGGCCCCGAGTCTGTCGAGACGTTACCTGTCCAGACGATCGCAGAGCTGGGTACGGAACCCTTCTCGCGAGTAACCACGCCCTGCCTATCCCACTGCCACGGGACGTATCCATCGTGGTGGCACTAAGGGAACAAATAAGACACGTTGCCGGCAGCGGTCTACGTTAGTCGCAGGTCATCTTGGAGGTCAGATCAAGCTATCGAGAACAGACAGTTTACCAATAGGCACAGCTTTATCCGCAGCCGTCTGTCGGTGAATGATGTACCTGCAATAGGGTCCTTTACCTTTCGGATACCTGTTGCCTTAACGAGCCTGGAGATTGGCGACGAGGCCGAACCGGCTAACCTACATAGTTCGCATTTACACTGTATGAGAAAGATTTCAGGAACTCCGTGGGCACGATAGGCCCAAGCTCTTCACCGCTATTTTGCCAGGGGAGGTCCATGCCATGTCCATTGCAGATCTTCACCCAACACACCCCCCCCTCCCTTCTCGTCAACCTCCCCCCCCCCTCTCTCCTCACCCTCTCTCACTTTCCTTACCCTTGTTGCCGCAAATCCTTGCCGGTCGTCCATCGCGCCTGTCCGATGATCGCCGGTTATTGGTTTCGTTATCTTCCTGCCTTTTCAGAGTCTTCGACGACGCAGGGCTTTTGTTATATCATCATTATCCAAATCGTATTCCCGCTCGGAAATTTTGACTGGTCATCAACTCCAGTCCTGTGTCTTGGCTTTCACGTGGCGGTGGCTGGTTCGAAACAAATAGTCTCGAGTCGAGGTCTCTTCGAGGCAGTATTGGCCCTGGGATCTTGACCGGTGTGACTTGATTGGGGGTAAACCCCCTAGGCTTTCTGAGCGGCTCATCGGTCTGGCTAGTTTGGAGCTTTGATACCCTTCATCAGCCTCGGATTTATTCGTCCCTCGTCTCTTCCTCGTATGAGTATGTATGTGTACATAGAGGCTCATCCTCCTCTTCCTCTAGTGCCCTCTCTCCTTACGACCACCCCATGTTGCGGTCACCGCTCACTGTAGCCACAGGCATTCGCTCGGGTCACCATGCCCAACCACTCCGGGTTACGCGTAACACAGCTGTTTGCATGCCGCATATTACGAGATACGGGTGTAATATGCTAGGTATGTATACATGCATACAGCATCTGCTCGGCCGCAGATCCTCCCCCCCCCCCCCTTTTCTCTCCCCCGCGCCCTGCTCGATCCTCTCTTGCAGGGCTGGGCTGTCTCTTGCTATACATAATTCACACACACACAACACACACACACACACACATACACATACATAATCAGCAGCCACCAAGCGATCGATCGCTATAGCTCAAGTTTAGTCCTCCGAGTGGGTGCTGCCATGCCAGACTACGATTGCAGACAAGGATCTCAACGGGGAGGGAAGCCGGTGATGGTAAAAGACTCGTCCGTCCGTCCGCCCGTCCTTGTACGTGTGTTCCTCCTATCCACCGGCTCGGTGTGTACACTAAGACAACGACGGCAACCAGGCCCAGCGTCGAAGAATCGCAGGCTCCGGGCACGGGTATATCTACATAGGTAGGTAGGTAAGCACCTGATGTATGTACGCCCCCAAGATCGCAGGTATGTGTATGTATACAGGATCCGGCAGTGAACATGACCCCTCCCCCCCTCCCCGCTCGTACAGGCAAAGAAAACCCCCATCTCGAGGATGGATAGGGTCACCGTTGATCTGAAAATCAATCTTACATTGCGCATGCACCGCGCACAGCCCTTACCGCGCATCTACCCTAAATCATTAGGGCTGACTTTTAGCTACCTACAGCTCCGCGATGTACTCGTATAAACGGCAAGTACATATTTCCACTGTAGCATTCACGGACGAGATTGGGTATGTACATACATATGTATGTGCGGTACGGCATGGTGCGACGACAGGCTACAGCACATAACCGCACTCACATATCGAGCGGGAAAACGAGCAGGGGGTGGAGGCGAGTTAGCTGCTAGCGACGCCTGGTCCTCCATATTCCCATCCCCCTGCCCTAGCTAGCTGTCTGTCCCCCTAGCGAACATCTCCAGGAAAATCACGTTGGCACCAACACCCAAAGAGCGAAAAGACGGGGTGCGGATCGCAACCGAAGGAACTCGATCCAAGCAAAAGGCCAGTCCACGTTGCATGGGATATAAGATCATCGCATAGGGGGAGGATCCCCTCCTAGCTGCCCCGTGTCCGTCGGCCATTCGAGACCTCGCCCATGTTCTCACGACAGCGATTGCAACAAAAGCGACTCGTCATAGTGCGCACACCTGGTTATTGTAGCGTGTGTGTGTGTGGTGTGTGTGGTGTGTATGTGTGTGTGTGGTGTGTGTATATGTGAGTATGTATGTGTGTGTAACGTATGGACATTTCGCAAGGTCAGGTCGGAGGGAGAGTCCCTGCTACTCCGTCAGCCACTTACCCCATCCTTCATTACAAGTCGCAGCCCTTCCAGCCGCCCCGCTCAGCAAAGCAGCAGTGAGAGGCAAGCATCGAAGCAAGCAAGCACAAGCAAGCAAGCGGACAAACGGGCAGGACGAAGAGAATCCCGTCTCTCCGCTGCCGCCGCCGCCGTCGCCGTCGCCGCAGCAGCAGCAACGGCGGCAGCAGCAGCAGCACTGCCAGTTGCTAGCCAAGCAAGAAGCAGAAGCAAGTATGATCCGCATTACATATGTAGCCTGGTGGCAATCGATACGTACCTCCCCTACCATACCTACACGCTCCTAGAGCGCTATGTACCTAGGTTAGCATGTACACAGCATTCTGACGCCTGTCTGCCCAGATGTACATGCGTACATGTACATACATGTATGTATGTACTACATATACGTATGGGTGTATGTATACATGTGGCCGCGCTCTGGCAAGGGCTACCTGCCGCGACTCGATATTCCCGCATGGCCCCATGTTGCTCGACGTTGATTCCCCGACGGTTGTGGAGAACGTCGTCGTGCCCCGTCGGCACGTACACGTACGTACATACCTACCTATCTTAGGTACATTAGGTACATACATGCATTCGTACCTACCTAGGTACCTGCCCGTGCATGTACCTGCCTGTAGCCGAGAGGTACCCAATACAATGCCATTGTCGTTCTAGTAAGCATCCCTACGGAGACCCGGGGGCTAACTAACGGCCGGCAACGAAGGGAAAGAAGCCCAGCAGAAAATGGTGCGAGGAGACCAAGTGAAAAGCAGAGAGCAAGGCGAGGAAAATAACTCGACAAGAGACCGCCGACATTATGTGCCTAGGATACTAACCTGGACACCTGCGAAGTACCTGCGTCGTCCCCGAATTATGTAGGTACCATTACAGCTGTTACATACATACATCGTTCTGCCAGACATCCCCGAGATGAACGAGGCCGGCCCCAGGGGGGGGCTGCCGAATGGATGGTTACTGTATACTACGTAAGATGGTGTTTCTTCTTTTTTTTTATTCGGCTTGTGGGGTGAATGCATACTATACATAGGTATACCATCCACCCATATGTATATGTATTAACTCCGGATCGTAACACGACCGAGCTCGGCTCGAATTTAGGCAAGCCGCCCATGGTTGTCTTCCCTCTCGCATTCTCAACCACCCGCCCGACCGTATACCGGATCCCTGCCTGCCAATCGCCGGTCACCCTCCTCAATTTCTTTAAAACATCCCCATACACTTGGTCGCGACCCAACAGCGAGAGGCCGCTGCAACGCAGCCGGCGAAGCAAGGACAGGCAGCGGCAAGCTCTCGCACCGAGGCAATCCAGTGTGGCATTTGCTCATGCCGGTAAAACATCAAGAAGGCTGCGGGCTGCACAGGAGAGAGGAGGCACGGGTCGGGAATGCAACCCGACTCGATAGTGCTAAACCGCAGCGCCCCCATCTCCATCCCATCGTGGCCCTGCCGCGGATTGAGCAGCAGCAGCAGAGCACAGCACGACAGCGAGAGCTACATACACGCACACACATACACCGCACACCACACACCACACACATGTGTAGTGTACATGCCTGCAGACAGGACAAGGAAACGACAGCGGCCCCAATCGCTAGGCTGCATGAACGCCTAGCATGGGACCCGGCTTGCACCATCAACATGTCTAACCACATACGTATATACACATGTAGGTGGGTAGGTGTTCTAGGCAATGGGTTTGCAGTCTGGATAGCGAAGCCAAGAAAAGAAGAGAGAGAGAGAGAGAGAGAGGGAGAGGGAGAGAGAAGTGCCTCGGGTGTCCGATACGGAAAAAGGGGTGCCTACGACCACAGGTATACATTCAACACATTGGTATGCCAGGTACATTAGGTGCCTACTAACCTGGCCACAGTTACCTCCTTACAGGTAGGCACCTATCGTGGTATATTTAGAAGACGACGATGCTATACATGTAGTTGTCTAAGTACCTGATTCTAGAACCCATATTAGCAACCTACCTAGGTACCTAAGGTAGGTACCTTATTACCTTACTACCTTGGATAGGTACCTAGGAGATTCTAGGCACCTAGGTAGGTAGATAGGTACCTATGTCTGAGCCTTAGGTCAAGGTTAGGTGCCTACCAACCCGTCTTTGACAGCCACATGTACCCAGATACCTCTGGCCTAGCGGGATGGGATGGATGACAGTAGGTTAGGAGGTACCTAATGTAAAGTACGTGCATACATACCTCTATGTGTAGGTACATCTGCGATCTGGGAAGCAAGGAGGGAACTCCCGCCTGTATGTAGGTTGCCCGCTGTGCAGACAATCCGGGCGTATCCTCAGCCTCCCACGGCGCGAAAAGTGAGCTGTCAACCACCATGGGCTCTTAGCGTCGAGTTGGATCCCTTAGCCCCAATGATGTGCATCAACCTCCCCTACAACATAAAGGCCTGCTTGCTACGGCTCGAAATAACATCAAACAGCACAGATACCGTACATGATGTACACGCGCGCGCGACATACAGACACACGGGCTACACACACTTATACACCTCTCCAGTCTTCCACGTAGTAGCTGGGGGGGGTTCCAGGCCTCCCTGTTCACGGCCCCTCCCTTTTCCCCCCTGGGAGAGATGTAGAGAGGGTTGCATGAGAAACGAGGGCGGGAGATGTGGTGGGCTGGCTGCATGAAATGTGCGGGGGGCAGGAAATCGAACCGGACCCGGATCCCATCGCGAGACAAACAAGTGGCCGTTGATAAATGTGTGTGCGTCGCATCTCGGTCAAGGCAGGTCAGGGCAAGCCAAGGCAGGCCAGGTAAACCAGCCAGCATACCCACCAACAGGCGAATTTACCGCCCTCGTGACTTGGATCCCTTCACGTCCGTCGGCGATCTGATAACGCCCGCCGCCATCCTGCCACACGGTACCAGGCGATGGGCAATAATAGGCGGACGAAGAAGAAAGAAGAAGACGAAGAAAAATGATGATGATGATGATGATGATGGCAACAACGACGACGGCGGCCACGACAATCATAATAGCAACAACAATAATAGGTAGGCACCCAACCAGGAAAGAAGAAGAAGAAAAAAAACCATCCCTACTACCGTCACCCGCGCCGAGCGCCAAAACACGGGCTTCTCGGGTTCTTTGGTTTCGAAACGCGCACACCCGATTGGACGTGCCGGGACGCCTCCGTCGGGCCTCGCGACAAAACGCCTGCGAGCGGCGCTTGGCAGAAGCGGTGATGTGCACCAAAGCTCGTCGTTTCGTTCGGCTGTGTTATATCCATCGTATTATAGCGTATCCTCTGGATTTTTCCGCCGTCGGAGGTTGTATCGACAGAGCCGTCCATTGTATGGTGTTTCGGACCAAGATCAGGGATCGAAGGGAACTTACCCTTCTGCGTACTACATTACGGGGGTTATGGCCGGTGCAGGGAATCAGTCAGGTGCCCTCCATCCGCGTTCCCCCACACAGGCAGGTAGGTAGGTAGGTAGGCCTAGGTAGTTAGGAGGTAGTTATCCTATTCACCTAAGCGAATACCGAACTCGATTCTCAAGATAGACAGACATGTGATCTGGTGGTAATTAGCTGCCTACCGGAAGCTCCGAGTAGAATATTCACTTTCTAGAGTCGGCGGGCTTATAACTACCTGCCTAGGTAGGTATTCATATATGCCTTGCGTGAGGTGGGTAGATACGTCTGTACGCCTAGATCAGGTACCCGTAGGCCGGTACTATGTAGGTACCTACCTCTAAGACCTGAGGCCCCTCGATACTCGGCACGCCTACCCGTAGGCAAGGGGACCTGAGGTTAGCGACAGTATTAAATGTGCATACCTACCGAGGTCGTTACCTACACGTATATCTTGGTGTCTACTCGTTGGGGAGGTATCGAAGAGTCACGTGTCACTAACGTCCACTGCCGACATGGCTTTCTGTTACGCCGCCGGACAAAGATGTAAAGTATTCACATAGTTATGGGATATGGGTACATGCCTAACTAGACCTAAGGCATGCACAGCTCCTGGGTGCCTCTCGCTAGCGTCGAGCCGTGAGATGCGCACTTGTACATACCAAGCCGTCGTGCGCCTCAACCGTGTCTTGTTTACCTACCTATTCAATGGGGAAGAAGAAGTAAACAAGTAGGTAACTCTTTGCATGCAGGGATAACTATCCTTTTTTCCTCTCTCTTCCGCTCTTGTGATGACGTAGTGATCACGCGTTTTCTATCTTCGACCCCCGGCGCCTTTTTCTATCTACCCTCCTCTCATACCACCAGGCCGCCAACCTCCTCCATCTGCCATGCCATATCCACCAAACGTTTCGAAATCGCAGACGCCCAGAGCCGCAGATCCCAGATATGGCCAGTCTTCTGACAGTTGGAACTCGTCTGCAACGGGCCACCAGCGCGCCGATAATCCTCTCGGGAGGAGCATGGGATGGCGCCACTCCCGGAATCTAAAGCTCACGAGCCAGTTCAAGGGCGGGCCCGGGGGTGGGCAGCGCGTGTCCGACACTGTGGGCCAAGGTTCGAAAGACTGGGACCCGGCTATGAGAACCCTCATCACGCCCGAGCTGCGGTCTCGCGCCCAACGCTCGGTTATGGACATGTTGGTGAAGCCGGGGACCATGAAGGGCGGCACGTCCGCCTCCGCTATCGCGGACGCTCAACCCGGGCCGGCCAGGGACCACGACGACTCGACGGGTGCGAAGAACCCTACGGGGCGGCGCGCCGCCGGAGACGAGATTCGGGAGGAGGACAAGACTCGGCCAAGGGGAATTTTCGACGGCGTTGTGGTGTACATCAACGGCAGCACACACCCCCTGATCTCAGACCACAAGCTCAAGCACGTGTTGGCGGAGCATGGCGCTAGGACCTCTGTTCATCTAGGACGACGACAGGTCACACACGTGATCCTAGGAAGGTCGGTTGGCGGGATTGGCGGTGCTGGTGGAGGTCTCGCCGGAGGGAAACTGCAGAAAGAGATTCGGAAGGTCGGCGGGCCCGGCGTGAAGTTTGTCGGCGCCGAATGGGTCCTCGAGAGCATCAAGGCAGGTAGACGACTCCCGGAACCAAGATTCGGCAGTTTGAAAGTCGCCCCCAAGGGTCAGCAAAGTGTGTATAGTCTATACGCCAGCCCCGGGACGCCCGCCGAGTCCTGATTTCCCCCTTCGAGGCCGGGGCGAACGGGTTTACGATATCAATAATGTGGGACGAGGATGATGTGTTCCGTTTCGGGGCCAACATTGCATCATAAGGTACACGAGGTCCGTTATCTTGCATGACATTGATATCAGCATGAGGCGCCGATTAGATAGGTAGCCTAGCTTGGGCGGTCGCCGGGAGTTTTACTAACCCTATGCCGCGAATAGAGACCGCAGCTCGTTCCCCCCCCCCCTTTCCCCCTTTCAACCTTGAGAGATCTAGACACGGGCATGGCGTCCGTCCCACGAAGCTGAAGTCGGCTATTGGTGAGGTGAATGCTGACTCCTCATTCGCCGTTCATGCTTCCGAATCGCCCTTACCGGAGACGCCGGACGTCCGGATATAAAATACCTAGGTTAAGTCGTCATTCGATGTCGACATGGCTCGAGCGGCGAGGTGGCTGAGGCTAGGCATTCCTGCGGCGACACGCTTGTTAGGACACGACCGCGACTGGGCACGTCGAAGACGGACCGCGAGCGCTTCGTACCGCGCGCAGCACTTGGAGGTTAGCGTGTGTTGGTATTCGGTGTAATGGAATAAGCCCAGGCTTGCCGAGGATGTTCCTCGCATTCCCCATGGGTCCCCCATGGGTTCCCCATCCGCCCCATGCCTCTGCCCCCGCGGGGCTTTTTCTTACCGATCTTACTAAAGACCCCCTTTTTGTCTCAGGAGATTGGATCGTGGTGGTTGAAGCTCCCTCCCCGCTGCACCGACGTCGAATATTAATACCACATCTTTGTATGGGCAAAGGGTGCTACTCGGTCAAAGCGGAGCCAACCCTACCTGCTCTCACTCAAAGACAACCAACCCAGAATCAGCTGCAATCCGGAGAATACTCGTTCAGAAGTAGCCAATCTCGCACGCAAGGCCGGGGCGACGACCGCCGTGCCCGCACGAAGATGAGCTACTCGCAAGATGAAGCCTACCAACGCTCGTTGGAGGATCCGGAGTCCTTCTGGGCTCGGCAAGGCAAAAACTTGCACTGGCATAAAGAGCCAGGCTCGGTCCTGACTAGGACTAGGAGGAGACTCCGAAATGGTGTCGAGTACCCGCATTGGGAGTGGTTTTCAGGCGGTGAGATATCGACATGTTTCAACTGCGTCGATAGGCACGTCCTTGCAGGCAACGGCGATCAGCCAGCTGTCTTCTACGACAGCCCCGTCACCAAAACCAAGAGTTCCATTACCTATTCGCAACTACTCGATGAGGTTGAGGCCACGGCCGGCGCCCTGAGGGAAGAAGGCGTGAAAAAGGGTGATGTGGTGCTGGTTTATAGTATGCAACTCGTCCTTCCCCCCTCCCCCTTTCACCGCCACTCACATTAGACCGGCAGCGTAACTAATCATCAATAGTGCCGATGATACCTGCTGCCCTAATTGGCATTCTCGCTATCAACCGGCTCGGCGCGGTACACGCCGTCGTTTTTGGCGGCTTTGCCGCCGCCTCACTAGCTCAACGGATCGAAGCCTCCAAACCCGTAGCCATTCTCACGGCTTCTTGCGGGATCGATGGGGCTAAGCCGCCTATGAGCTACAAGCCCTTCATCTTGGAAGCTATTCAACTATCCAGCCACAAGCCTACTCGCGTCGTAGTCTGGCAGCGGGACGAGCTACGATGGGATGGCTTGAACAGGCAAGCCGGCGAGCGCGATTGGTCCAAGACGGTGCGCAGCTGCAGGGCGAGAGGCGTGAAGGCGGAGTGCGTCCCGGTCGCATCAACTGATGGAATCTACATAATATACACCAGTGGCACGACAGGCTCCCCTAAAGGTGTTGTTCGACAAGCTGGTGGCCACGCAGTCGGGCTGCATCTTTCGATAAGTTATCTGTTCGGCGTCCACGGGCCTGGAGATGTGATGTTCACGGCCAGGTAACAACCTTCGATGTATAATCCCTATGAAATCAGTACTAACCTGGATCGAAGCGACATCGGCTGGGTTGTTGGACACTCGTACATAATATATGCGCCTCTCCTTGCCGGGGCCGCGACAGTTCTCTTCGAAGGAAAACCGGTCGGAACCCCCAATAGCTCGACGCTTTGGAGGATTATACGGGACTACAAAGTCACGAGCCTATTCACTGCTCCCAGTAAGCTAACTTTTCGGACTCGTGTTAGACATTTCGGCTAATAACCCTAGCTGCCTTGCGTGCTATTAAGAGGGATGACCCCGAAAATAAGTTCATCAAGCAAATAGGTGAGCAGGGCGGCCTCAGGAGTCTGAAGGCTCTCTTCCTTGCCGGCGAGAGGTCCGAGCCCTCGATTATCACTATGTATCAGGAACTTATACGAAAGTATGGTGCTCCCGATGCAACCGTTGTCGATAATTGGTGGTCATCGGAGTCTGGATCGCCCATATCGGGTATCTGCCTAGCTCCGTACAAGGCGGGGGATAGGAAGGCAATAGTTAGTAACTACAAGCCGTTGCCGATAAAGCCTGGGAGTGCTGGCAAGGCGATGCCAGGCTTCGACGTCAGGGTGGTAGACGACAACGGCACGGAAGTGAAGAGAGGGAAGATGGGCAATATCGTTCTAGCGATCCCGCTTGCTCCCACGGGATTCACGACACTGTGGAAAGACGAGGAAAGATTTTACAACAGCTACTTGAAGAGGTTCAACGGGAAGTGGATCGACACTGGAGGTAAGCGCTCCGAGTAACTCAAATGGCGACTGGCGTAACCGAATTTCTAACCGAATCGGAAACAGACGCTGGTATGATAGATTCCCAAGGATACATCAGTATCATGAGTCGAAGTGACGACTTGATTAATACGGCCGGCCATCGACTCTCAACTGGTACGTTCTACCTCCCGGTCTCGTTGGGTTATTCCTGCTAACGCGAATGGCAATATAGGCTCCATCGAACAAGCGATAACGGGCCATCCGCTGGTTGCGGAAGCCAGCGTAGTCGGCATTCCGGATTCTCTCAAGGGCCAGCTCCCCTTCGCCTTCATAACGCTCTCGGTACCCGACCATCCGACGTCAGCCATCCCGGACAAGAAGCTGCACGACGAGATTCAGGGCCGGGTTCGGACGCAGATCGGGGGCATCGCCACGCTCGGCGGCATAATACAAGGCAAGGGGATGATCCCCAAGACGCGGTCGGGCAAGACGCTGCGCAGGGTCCTGCGGGAGCTGGTCGAAAACGCCGTCCACGACGAGCTCGATAACGAGGTCCAGTACCCGGCAACCATCGAGGACGCCTCGGTGATCGGCGTGGCGAAGTCGAAGGTGGCGGAATACTTTAGACACAAGGGAGATGCCCACAAAGCCATCGAAGCGAGGGCCAAGTTGTAGGCGCCTTGCCTCCTCGTGGCCGCGCGGCGTAGCAGCAGAGGCGGTATATAGATGCAGCCTCGTTGCTGCGATTCCCCCAATCTAAGTCGCGGGCGAAGCCCTTTACGAGCACGCCCCCTCAGACTGGGTTCGAATCGGGCATGCTAGACTGGAATCCCCAAGACGCGTAAATAGCACTACCTAATGCATATAACATCATTCCCCGTCCCCTCTCCCGTCGCCGGCTTCCCGGCGCGCTTGCTTCAGGTGCATTTAATTCGCATGTCCAGACTGATTACCTAGACCTCAACTGGCCCGTCGCCACGACAACGCTGTCCATCCCGTGTGTGAATCCCCGATCGTGTGCGATCGAAGCTGCCGCAAGACACTATGAGGGGCCGAAGCACGTGGGGACGACGAGCCTGCGCGCAGATTCGGCTTCGTCTGGCGTTGCGCCGGAGCCGAGACTGCCCGCGAGCTCGCCGTCTGCCTCGGGGCGACGACGTACCTACCTAGCGAGCGCGGGCCTTGCTCGCACGGAAGAAGCCTTCGAGCTGCGCTAGCCGGCGGGCTGTCTCCCCGAGGCGCGGGGGCGCAGCCGCGGCGTCAGACATCGTCCCGCTCCGCCTGAAACACGCCACGCGCCTTCGCTGTCGACGGGCCGGTGGTGTCCCCGTTCGACGCTGCCACGACGCGCCCCTGCCCCAGAGACGGCGTCCGTCTAGACGATGCCCTCCCCTCTCCTCCTCCTCCTTCCGTGGCTCGTACCGGGGCCGGCCCTTCGTCGGCGCCTCGTGCAGGCCAGATGCAGTTACCACGGCCCGCCGAGATGAAAAGAGGAGGGAGAGAGAGAGTGGAGGGGGGGGGGGAGGTATTATTTCTGGGTGATGTAGGTATTGGCTCCGCGGACGCGTTTGCTGCCCACTCATCTCTTAATTTGCCGAGTTGCTACAACTATGCTGGGCATGACGTAGGAACTAGAAGGAGCTCCGGCGTTTATTATCGCCGTTTTCTTGATAGGTCTATGATGCTACTTCTACTATCTGTTGTCGTGATCGTAAGAAACTTGTGCAAAGATTGTACACGGACTAATGAGCCTTGCTCCTAGACCACCAGAGCTGTGCCATGGAGAGGTCCCCGAAGAAAGTACTTGTTTCTCCGGCTCATCTCCTAGCCATACCCGATAGTTCCCCTGCGATGCCTTGTATTGGATAGGGGTACGTCTGTTAGCTGGTTATCACAATACAATCCCCCCTTGAAATGGGGGTCTCCCCCCAACTCGACGGCTCCAATGACGATAGCTCGCTTGTCCGAAGCGCCATAGGCTAACTGCGTGGCATACCCCTCACCGTGTGGCCGGTACCTTACAGGCTGTATATGAACTCGGGGTTTTCCCTATCTGTTAGATCGAGAAATTCCTGCCCGTCCGCCTTAGTGTAGGTGGGGAGAGAACGGATGGCAGCCTTGACTTTGTTTTGGCGTCTGCACCAGAAGTTGATGAATATAAAGATGGTGAACGCGACGCATGTACACACAAGGGCCACGATATTTGCGTTGCGATATCGTGGAGCGTCGGTCGACTGGAATACCTGGGGCCCGATGATGTTGCCTATACAGTAGGCGACTAAGTACATCGCCGCGGCGGTGGTTTTTTTCGTCCAGCCTGCCACGTTTGTGGAGATGAGACCGAGCAAGGTGACGAAGCCAGTCGCCATGGTGTAGTATAAATAATACCCCATGAGCCTGCCCGTGCTATTCTCAAGCGGCAGGCAGAGTATGAGGGACAGGCCCAAAGCCCCTAGCAGGACGCCGGCGGCGCCGCAGAGCTGTAAAAGGGGCGTTAGCCCCGACGATAGGGAGGCACAGGGGTTAGGGTGTCTCTTAACGATGCGACTCTGGAGCCGGTCCCCGAAGTGCCCAGCCACTAGGAGAGTGACGACCTGAACGGCGCCACCAGGAGCTCCCAAGAGAAGAGATTGGGTTTCCGAGAATCCGAACGAGACAATGAGTTGCGAGAAGTAATTCGACATTCCGCCTGGCGACGTGTGTCAATTAATATGCCACAAATTTGGATGCTGGTTCCCTGGCAACTCACCATTGGGGATGGAGGAAATAAGGCTATAGAGGGCGAAAGCCCAGATCATAGGGTCTGTAAGCGCCTCCCGACACTGATACCATTTAAAGTGCTTGTTGCCTACGCCCTGCTGGTTCACGCGGATACGTTCGACGGCCATCACCCGCTCCTCTTGCGTCAGGAACCGGGCGTTCAGTTGGTTGTCCGGCATGAAACAGAGGAACAACACGCCCATAAAGGCTGTGAAGAAGCCGGTGACGAGGAAAACCAGTTGCCACGACTTGACGAGGATGGGATGGCGTTCTGTCCTCACGGCGATTCCGTACGCGACGAAGCCTCCTACTATTTGACCCCAGCCGTTGAAACTAAACCACCATGCCACCCTCATCCCCTGCTCCTTTTTGGTATACCACTGAGATGTGAAAAGGGCGAATCCCGGGCTGACGGCAGCCTCGAATACGCCGAGGAAGAACCGCACCACCATCGCGCCCTTGAAGTCTTTCACAGCCGCCAGACAGCAGAGCATCAGGCCCCACATGATCACGTTGAACGCCGAGTACTTCGCCAACGGGAGTCGCTGGAGAAGGCGGTTTGTCGGCCATTCCCAGACGAGATACCCGAAATAGAACATCGACGCTATCCACTAGATCAGATATCAACATTTGTTTCGGTACTCCTCTGTCTGAGACTGGAGAGTCACAGGGTAGCCGTGATGGGTGGAGAGTTTCTCACAGAGTAGTCCTGGCCTTTGGAAGACGTATGGCACGAGGCTAGTTAGAAGAGAACGACAGACACATTGGCGCCTCGCCACAAACCCCGAGTGCCTTACCTACGAGATGGATATCCGTCTAGGCACGGCAAGATTAGCACGGACTATCTGCGGTTCTCGGCGGGGCGAATCTCACCTTGATCCCCATGACGGAAGCATAGGACAAGGTAGTCTTGTCCAAATAATTCAGCCCATAGACGATACATAGGAAGGGCATCAAGTGGCGATCGATCTTCCGGAGCAGCCTTCTCTCCTCCTTGGGCGTCCAAACGATGGCCTCGCCCTGGCGAGCGGCTACGAGCTTTAGGGCCTCGTCCGGGTCGCTGCCGTCGACCTGCTCGAGTGGGGGACCGACGCCGACAGCTCCAGACGGAGAATTCCCAGTTGGCTTTTCCCCGCCGGCTGACGGGTCTGCCGTCGATGTACGGTCAACCTCTGACATGATGCTTGGGTAGCTTTCTACTCTCGAGGGGGCGAGGCGTTACACCAGGTGCTCAGTCTGCCTGCCAACAAAGTCAAAGATTTGACGGCGGAGATTTGCCTGGGGAGCCTTGAGGGGTAAATAGGTCGGTCTACTGGGAACACATGATGATGTCGGCTCCTTAGCTGTTCTGATCCATACCAGTCGCCGGGTGTCACCCCGAGTTGGAGAGCAGGGCAAGGCCAATTATGGGCTCCCGAGCAATCGACTACACTTCTGAATCACGCCTTGACAAGGCGGCAGAGATCGGCGAGGACGATCTCATCCAACGCCTATAAGCTGGCAGAAGTGACGCCGTGGTGCTACACCGCCGCGGCTACCTGCCGTCTCCAGGAATCGGCTACGTATGATCTGGAGGGATGTACGGCGAAGGATATATGCAGACTACGCCTACCTTGGGTGCTGTGTCGCGTATACCCAGGTGTCACCCTCAACAGTCTGTGGGAGACATAGTCAGGGAGATAGGTATAGAGGATGGCGACTCGGCGGGATATAGAGAATGACGGCTCTTTTCGCTCAGCACAAGCACCTCGTCGAGAAGGGGGACCAACCTTGGCCGTTGCGCGTAGACGTAGCCGAAGAAGTTGTACAATGCTGTTGTTACCCGAGTTTTAACCGCCGATGGGAAACCAGGTTACTCGGGAGGATCATTTACACCGTAGTACTGATGGATGCGGTGTAGCATTGCTGTCTCGACACGCACCAACCCACCCAACGCCAAGTGGTCGGTTTTCCAGTATTACGGGGTGAGTCGGAGGGAGGGCAGAATCAGCATACGATAACCAGTTGAAAAGAAAAAAAAAATATATATATATATATATATATATATATATATATATCATACATATATACATACATGCATATGCATATATATACTAAGGGGGTGTGCTAATCCTTCGGCCCATAAATGGCAGGCCTTTACGAGGTGCCTAGCTACATACCTTTAACGTACCTGCCTGTTCAGATGTACTTGCTGATTGAGAAGGCACTTGCCTACCTAGATACCGGGTAACTCGGAGTTGGATCAATCGTGGGTACCTAAAGTGGCTGCTGGTTTTTGATTACCGGTCAGTTGCGAGAGGTACTTGACATGCCCCTACGTTCTAGGCAGGCTCACGCGAATGGGTTCGCGTTCGGATGAGACAATAAAGCAATGTTGCAATGTTGCAATGGCGGACAATTCCGTGTCAATACCTCGCAACGCATTTGTGGGGAGAGCCAATAAAGATGTGGAAAACTCATTCCACGCCCGGCAAGGTTGTGGAGGCGAAGCAAAAAAGAAAGAAAGGAGAAGAGAAAGAGAGATATGGAGGAGAGACATGGCGTTCCTCGAGTCCGGCCTATGCATATACGTACGGACAACGAAAATACACATACACAACCAACACCGAGCGAGGATTTGCTGTTTCAAATTGCTGGTCCGTTGATGCGTCGCCAGCCAATGAAGCTCCGAAGAGCATGTTTATCGCTGCCTCTAATAGATGTTGCGTCCACGCCAGATTACAGGCAACGCATGGGGGCAGGCAACTCTTGGGTCGGCTTGAGCGGATCGCTCGGCGATTAACATGGGCGTTTTTTTGCACGTATTTTCCGGCCGTGGGCCTTACACAGCCACAATACGTAAGGAGTTCACCTTACGGAGTTGGTACGGGGTAAATTCGACCCACTTGTGACGGGGTAAAGCGAGTAAGTAACTACGGAATGGGATTGGACGGGAGAGAAATGAACCAAGCGATAAGCGGGGAGATAGGGAGACACCCACTGGACGCCACTAGCTTCTTTGGGAAGGGGGCGCTTGAAAGATCCGGAGGAACACCGCGAGGCCACCAGCAGTCCGGGACACGACAGGAGAAAAGTCTGGCCACTCCATCGAGACCAGGTTACTCAGATAACACTGCTACACTACGCATTCACGCAAGATCGAGAGACGGGCTGTTGCCGGACCAAAACTTAGCCTCCCGGCCATGTCTGCGCTGCAATTGAACTATAGTACAATACCTCGCAAACACGGTGATATTTCCAGAGACCAATAAAACATCCAGCGAAGGGACCAAAAAACCTGCAACGATTGCCGAGGATTAAAACTGTGCTGTCGACTTGGGAACGTGAGCGCGCTGAAGTCAACAGGAAGCAGGGGCACGAAGAGCGAAAACTTCTTGGGCGATGAGACAAGTGGTTGAAATGGTTGGATTCTGTCAGAGGTCCGATACCGACCAAGCTCTCCTTCGAATACCGGCAGAAGAAGCTTTTCGTAAACCAAACCCCCACGACCATTCCAACTTGGCCTTAGACCTCACACATACCCCCGCAGGGAAATGGCTCTGTCCGAAACACCAAGTCAAGAAATTACAAGAATCAAAGTGATTTCCTGCACGCGTGGCTGTCGCAACTCCAAAGCGCAATGCAGAATACCGTATGCCATTAGTCCCTGTCTAAAACACTCCCAACCTCCCATCACAACTCCGGTCTGCTTCCCGTCATGAGCGTTGCAAACATCCCTCTCGATCCCCAAGGATTAGGTACTATCGAACAAAGGAGAATCGTAGGTCAGACGTGAATGCGAAGCTAGCAGCCGATCTATAGGGCGGCAACAGCGAGACCGAGCAGGCCAGCGAGGCCAACGGCGACCTTGGCAGCGCCAGCCGTGGGGATGGGCGTCGACGGGACGGAGGTGGCGGGAACGCCGCCCGTGGGGTAGACCGTGCTGGGGGTGGTAGCCGGGATGGTCTTGTTGGTGTAGCTGGTGGGGACAACTGGGACAACTGGGACGCTGGTCGGGTAGACCGGGGGAGGAGGGGCCGCGGAGCTGTGGTTGTGTTAGCTCATTAACTCATCTTTAAACTGGCATCTTACCAGGCAACACAGGAGACGGACGAGGTCACGAAGATGGGCTTGCTAATCGTGCAAGGGCAGTCGGTGATGGTCAGAGTGGTGGGCTGCAGTCTTGTTAGCTTTTATGATACTAAAACTTAAATACTCGAGAATCTTACCTCGGTGACGGTGTAGGTCTTGGTGCCGTAGGTGATCTGGGTGGGGCCAGGGCAGTACGTCTCGTACGAGGTAACGACCTCGGTGGTGTACTTGGTGGCGTTGGCAGAGGGGTAGCCAGCAGGGCTGGAGACAGCCTCGCTAGTGGGGACCGGGTAGGTGACCACAGGAGAAGAGCTGGCTACGGACGAGCTAGCAGCCGGGTAGCTGGCAGCGGACGAGCTCGAGACGACGGGGTAGCTGTCGACGGAGGAGCTGGAGACGACGGGGTAGCTGTCGACCGGGGAGCTCGAGGCGACGGGGTAGGTGGCGGAAGCGCCAGCGGCGAAAGCAATAGCAGCAACGGTGAACTTCATTTTGACTGAGTTGTCTGGTATTACGGGGATCTCGTAAGGAGAGTGGTCGTGGTTGAGGATTATTAGGTAGAGCGGGAGGGGTAATTAGGTATGCTGAAATAACGAATGAAATTGACTGAAAAGTCAGGGTGCGAATTACAGCGAATGTGCGGGTGAGGAGGGAAGAGAGAAAAGATTGACAGAGTCCTCCTTGGAAGACTCGATTTATATACAAGACGAGCAGCATGGGGGGGGAGAGGAGGTTCGCTTCCGGCAGCGCGCAACCTGGGCGTGCTGGTAAGTCTTTCTCCCTTACCCCTGGCTCGACTTGGGTCGTATGTAGATGATGGGGCCGTGGCGCTAGGACTGCCAGGGTCAACATTGTCTCCATCAAGACATGGTCCATATTTTCTCTTTGCCCACAGTTTATCTCGCTTTGCTGCCCAATCATGACCGAGAAAATATCGTGTTCAGAAAAAAAAAAAAAAGCCGATGTATCTGAGTCCTTAGCCCCATCGGGTCTTCAGGGGAGAGAGAAGTTGCTTTGTTGTACGTGATGGGCGCCAAATCCTCCCGAAAAAGGGGGTATGTCCACGCCTCCCCATCCCGCTTTCGCCGCGGTAGTGAGGCGATGTGGACACCGCTCATAACACGGTCGGCGGTAAGCATCTAAAAACAAAAACAGAAGACCCGGAAAATGAAGTTGTTTCTCACAGCCTCGGTGATAACGCAGTCATTGGGGCTGCCGCTAGAGACAGACCGGGCGTCGAGAACCCCATCGGGGATTCCAGCATGGCTGAATGCGGCAGCGTGTCTGATGAATCGGGTAGCATAACACGCATAACAAGAACACGAGATGGGTCTCGGAGAGAGAGAGAGGGGGGGCAATAGCGCGGAACTATTTTGGATTCTTCTGTTGGATGATGCGAGCTGGGGTTGGGTCCACAGGCGGTGCCGCCAGAATTCCATACCGCAAGATAGGAAGAAGGGTTTCGCTGCGCTGTAGTAGGCAATCTGCAAGGAACAACTCACGCTCTGCCAGGGGTAAGGCTGGGTAAGCAGCAGAGAAACCAGCGAGTCTTGCCATGCGGAAATTGGAACGCCACTAGCGCAGTTTCTATTCTCTGATCCCAAAACAGCGCAATAGGCTTTTTATCCGGCGACGATATCGGGTACATCTCCCTCGACCTGCTTCACATCTTCCCCGACCTGCCTCTCCCGTAGGAGGTACTCCAGCTCGTCGCCGCACACATCCCATGTGTAGGCGTATACTACAGGCGGACGTGTGTCCCATGTGCGAGCGACCTCGGGTTGATGGCGCCGCACATAATCAGGCGTGGGAAAGGGAAATGCGCCGAGCGTTGGACGGTTGCGTCGACGCCGCGGCTGGATCTACGGCTCCAAGATTCGAGCTGCGACGAGCGATAAAGCCCACCACGTTACATGCCTCCCTACCACGCGTACCTACATACATGCCTGCCCGTTCCCGCCTGGAGGTACTACGTATCTATGAGTACGGCCGAATTCTTGACAAGATTACCGGGCACGCCGGTCAGGTCGACGTCCGCAGAGAGTACCTCTGTTTACGCCCTAGTACGTGTGTTCTTGACGCCCACGTTACCGTGCGCGCTCCGTTCCCTCTCCCGACGGCAAACACAGCCCATCAGGTTCTCACCTCTAGGTCGACGCAGGAACAGATTGCGCTTCTGCAGGAACCTGCGAATGAAGCGTGAGCTGACAGCAGCCGAGCTGACAGCGTACCTCGCAGGAACCAATCCCGGTCTGTTGCGCGCCAGGAAGAGAGGCGCCCGTTCCGTTGCCCCTATGCCCATCACTCATCACATATCAGGCTAGGTACTTACCTAGGTAGGTAGGTTTTACCTAATGTACCACGGCTAGATAGAGGATGCGTGCTATCAAATTCCCGTACGTGAGCTTTGCAAAACGCATTAACGAGGTACATGGATGAGGCAAGTTGGGGGAAACGTCCGTTGGGTCCTCCCAGGTTTCGAATTCCGGACCAATCTGGGAAGTAAAAACAGCGAGAGCTCCAGCCGTAGGCGGTTAGTGGCTGGTTGGATGTACCTAGCTCTTTTATGCGATAGTTGAATCCAGTTCTGGCCGCCTGATCAGGGCAAAGCGCCGACGCCGCCTTAAGCCTGCTTCGAGGAATAGGAGACAGAATATCTGACTAGTCTTCCTGGCCCCCTCCCCCTCGTCATCTCCGTCTCCTTTCCTCTCTTTCGCTCCATGGTACGTTGTGGCCGATGAACTGTCTCTTACCCAAGCTGATATGCACCGCACGCAGACTCCGGTCGTCTTCGTCCAGGCTCCTCAGGCTTTAGGACCGGGGCCAGCCCCTGACTTTGTCTCCCTAGCCGACACCCGTTCTGCCAACTCTAGAATCGAGATTGGCTCGCTTGGCTTTGTGCAGAATTACCAGCGTTCCTTGGGGTCTTCTGGAAGTTGTTGTACCTACATGCATATGCACACACATACATACATATACATGCCTACCTACATACCACGTAGCATCTACCGCGTATCTGGGTAATTATCTGCTGCCTGGATGAATACGGAGAAAGGCCGGTGTGCGCGTACACGTACATCTACCCGCAACCAGGTACCCACTGCTACCTGCTATGCCCGGATTTGGTAGATGGGTAAATGGGTAAGGATTCTATCGGACCATAATATCCCTTGCCGCAAATTTGCTTTCCTCGTGTCGATAGGCTAACCAGCGACCGGATAAGGCAAGGAATTCATACTGCCCAATGCATGCCTCATAGATAGTCAACCCTAACATGTCCCGTCGTTTATCATTATGCTATAAGCTTATGCGATCCGTGACACCCAACCACTCCTCCGTATACCTGTCATTTCATGCTTCGTATCGAGCTTACGCTAGGGCTTGGATTTCTTCAAGCTGCGCTAACCGAGCGTAATCGCGCCGAGCACCTTGGGACGAGAAGCTCGATCGGTGTGGATTTGGTTCCACAACCACTCCCGACGACGTGATCGATCTTACCAAGGGTTTATATATATCTAGAAAGGCAATGCCACCGTCGGGGCACTGGGGCCGAATCTCTGATCCAATCCACTTTGTCTTGGATATATTCGGCAGCTGTGTTGTCCTGTGTACTACTTAGGTTGGGATAGTATTTGGGTGTGATGCCAGCACTCTGTTTGCTTTGTAGTATAGCATAGTCCCCGCGGTCTAACTCGGCATACCTATTATATATATGGTAAAGACATTGAACCAACTTTCAATATTTCGCTTCCTGACATCCATACACTTTCTCTTCCCTTTGCTGTGCAGCGTACACTCTTGGAACTCGACTTCATCCAGTCTACATTACACTGACGTGATACGGGCATACCGTGGAACTGGGTAGGTCAAGTTGCAGCTGATCACCACCATGGAGCTATCTAAGACTGTGCATGTTCCGTATATAACAACGCTTAGTATGCACACATAGTATACAGCTGGGCTCGGCCATGGAGCCTCTCGGCAGCTCACGTGTGATATTCTGGAGTTGCTGGATGCCCAGTCGGCTATGCGTGCACGTAGTACGGGGCATGCGAATCTTGTTGGTTCCGTAGGGCTACCTAATTTCCCGCCATTCCCACACAGACGATAGAAGCCAGGGATCGTCGACGTAGCTACGGTCGGCGGCAATAAATCCATACGAGATCATGTTTAATGCCATGTTTTATTGGGATGGCGGGGTTTGTGTTCCGTCTCGCGCGCACCACTTTGGTCTCAATGGGACCAGCAATCGATAAGAGCTGCGAGACGGCGCGAGGGGGAAGCGCGAGGAGGAGAGCAACGTATATACTTGCTGCTGACAGGCCCGATTGATTGTTCTACGTGTACGCATTAATCTAAGCCTGGAATGTTCTAGGCGCTCTAACTGCCATCTTATTCGAAGTCGCCAATTCTGTATCTCGCACGAGTGTCGATATCATCATTCCAGAGCGATTTGTCTGTCCTACGATAGACGCAGCATCCTGAGCCACGCTCCTGGAAAATCCACGCGCGTAGTTCAATAGCCATCGAACTCGACCAGGGACAGCCTATGAGTAGGGGTGTGGGGATGACGTGCGCCTGGAATGTTCACAATGTTGAGTAGGAGGGAGAGCAACGCGCGCAACTCTGATATGCCGCGAGTCCGTTCAGAGGACGCGAAGCAACATGCGAACATGATCGCTTTACACAGATTGGGACGCGCTATGCACGCTATGCACGTACCCGGAAGTGGTCGCACGCGTCAGCAGCTGCCTAGAGGAAGGCATATGGAGGAGGGGAGGGTGCTCTGCAAAATCCTGACGACCTGGGCGGTATTGTGCATACATGCATAGAAATAGGCCTACTAGCATCGGCTAGGCGACTACACGTAAGGCCCTGGAGGAAGGAAGGTGGTGTATGGGCATCTGCCGTATTCCAACCGTTTGATTTCAAAGCAACGCTTCCCCTCGTTCCTCGTAAAGGACCTAGGCCTTCAGGTGAAAACGGTGCTGCCGCTATACCGACAACCAGTCCACGGACTCTATATAGATCTGCGCAATTGCTACCCTCCAGAACTAGCAGAGCTTCTAAAGCTGCCTGCTCTCGCTCAGAATGGGGGACGTAATGAAAGCTGTTGGTATGCGGGTGCTAGATTTATAACGCACCACATCTGTCCCGTCCCGTATTCCACTAATAATGCCTTGGTTTAGACATCAGGGGCGGCAAAGGGCCTGCCACCTCGCTATTCATCAACTCGCAGACGCCGAAGCCCGAACCCGAGGAAGGCCAGGCCTTAGTCCGCGTCAGAGCCTTCGGGCTGAATCGTATGGATCTCATCCAGCGTGAGGGGAGATACCCCATGCCACCGCAGGCCCCTTCGACGCTCGGCGTCGAGTTCAGCGGCACCATCGAATCGTTCGGGCCTGGTTCCCACGGTGACTTTCGAGTCGGCGATGCCGTTTTCGGCTTGGCATATGGCGGTGCTTACGCCGAGTACATCGTCGTGAACTCCAGGATGCTCTTGCGTAAGCCGGACGGCCTAACGTGGGAGACGGCGGCCGGTATCCCAGAGGTATGGATCACAGCTACCCAGGCGCTGCACTTGGTTGGCGACTTCGCGCCGGGGAAGACGGTCCTGTGGCATGCCGGCGCCAGCGGCGTCAGTATTGCGGGCATCCAACTGAGTCGGGAGAGCGGCGCGAGCGCCATCTACGCTACCGCGGGTACGGATGAGAAGTGCCGGTTCATCGAGCGAGAACTCGGCGTTACCAAGGCCTTCAACTACAAGACGCAGGACTGGGCGAAGGAGATCCTGGATGCGACCGGCGGCAGGGGTGTAGATCTGATTATAGACTTTATCGGCGCCAGTTATTTCCAGAAAAATCTTACGGTCGCCGCGTGGGACGCAAGGTGGGTTATGCTCGCCCTACTAGGCGGAACGAAGCTCGACGGTGTAGATTGTGCCTTGCTGCTATACAAGCGCATCCGGCTCGAGGGCAGTACCTTGCGTAGTAGGGATCTCGAGTACCAAGGCCGGCTTAGGGATAGGCTTGCCGTATACATCCCTCAGATCGAGAGCGGGAAGCTGAAGGTCCTGATTGACACTGTCCTCCCCATGGAGGATATCGTCAAGGCTCATCAGCTTCTAGAGGAAAACAAAACTATGGGGAAGATCATTTGCACTGTCCCGTAGAGCGGGCATGCAAGGTCTTCTGGAGCCTGACTAGGCGTTCATGGCAAACCCTGCCCGATGGCATGGCTCCAAAACCATCAACTGGTCCATGGTTCATTCGACCAATATACAAATTCTACGATCATCAGGAGCCCTGCCCCGTCAACTCTCTTCGTCAATGCCCCTTGACCCACTTCAACATCTGCTCAAAAGCCGTCGCCTGCGCGTCCTTTATGTGTGCATCGTCGTAGTCTCCAACCACGGCAAAACCTAAGATTAGTTAACGTATAGCCACTTGCTTCAAGTTCCACGTTTGTCTTACCATGGGGAACGCCAGGATAGACCTGAACTTCGTGCTCTACGCTCTCCTTCGACATTATACCTTCCCCAGCTTCTCGGATATCATCGGGAAATAACGGGTCGTCTTCCACGCAGACCAGGCTCACCGGAACTTGCAAGCCCTGGAAATCGTCTGGCGATACTAATGTCGCGTGCGCCAGGGCACCGGCCTTGATATACGGTCCCTTCTCGTCTGGGAGGCTGGCTCCAGCGTCCGCCTCCCCTTCAGCATGATTTTGGGTGCGGCCCCAACCGGTATGAACAGAGCTGCGCTTGCTCGCTAGCAACAGGACATACCGTCCACCGAAACAGTAGCCTATCGCGTAGATCCCGCCCCCGTTGCCCACCGCGTCGGCGAACTCGCCATTGCATGCGTCGATAACCTTCTCTAGTAAAGGCATGACTTTTTCCTCAGTGTGCCGCGCCAACCACATATCGATTAGGAACGACTTCGCCGTTTCGACGGCCTTGAGTTTAAACACGTCAAGCAACGAGGATCCATGGGTCTCGATACCCGGGGCTGTGGAGGAGTTCGGCGCAGGGTCGCCCTCGAAGAGGTCCGGCATTACAACAACGCTGCGGCATCAGAGATTAGCTGCTGCTATTGTCTCGGTGATCGAGAGCCCCCCTGGGGCGTACTCACAAGCCCTCGTCTGCATACTGGTCTGCTTGTATCTGATTATTTGTCGATTTAAGGCCCGTTCCGCCTGTCAAGAGGAGCAGGAGTTTGGAGGGGTCTGCCGGGTACCCCTCTGGCTTCGTGAGGTAGACCTACCGGAGTATCAATATGCCTCTATATCAAGTTGGCGATAAGCCGTTATTGTTGGGACACTGACATCCACTCCGCCCAGCTTCCTGAGTTCCCCCTTCGGAGTTAGGCCAGCAGCTGTGCAGTAGTCGTCAACACTCGCTTGGTCCTAGCGGCTGACCGGCCATCCCGGCGAGCACTTACGAGTCGGCCTGTCAGTTGTGCAGTGTTCGCCCATCCCAGGACCCGTGTGCGTGGGTGTATCGCCCGGAATGGCGGTTTCCTGAGCATCGTACTCGGGAGCCTTGGTTGCGACGTCTGGCTCTGCCATGGCGGAGCGTGCGATGTGAAGACTAGGTATCTATCCTTTCGCGAAAGGGACAGAGTCTTGAAGGTCGTAGAGTGCTCTTGGTTGTAAAAAATAGGTTAAGCTAATATAGAGCTAACCTGGAGATGCTGTGTTCGGTTGTTTTTCGCGGATGTAGCTCGCCAAGGTGCTTAAGCTGCCTGCTCGTTTGCCTGCTTTAGTAGTCACCACTGATAGGTCTTTGCTTCTAAATCCGTATCGGGTGCGGGGCCTAAGCCATGGCTGCTTTAACCTAAGCTTAAGGTAGCATAGAGTAAGCATAGAATAAGTAAATCTAAGCCGAGCTCTTAGCATCGTTTTAATTATTAGATAGGTTTACTATCGCTTTAAAACAATTTGATTTTAAATAAACGTTGCCTTTACGAAAATAATCTGTTATAATAATATTATATACTGTATATTAAAATATATAAACTTAAAAGTTTTAAGTATAATTAAATTATAAATTATAAAGTTTAAGTTTCTATATATAAATTTTTAACTTATTATAAAAATTTTTAATATTATATAAAAATTACATTTAACTAAGTGAAAAAGTTTTTAATTAATATATTCTCTTATAAACTAACCTTTTTATAAACTATGTATAATTTATATATTATTAAAATTAACTATATAAGGAAATCGAAAAGTTTTCTATTTTTTTAAAGAGAGAATTTATTTATATATAAATATAGATAAAAAGCTTAATTTGTAAAGAGGTAGCTTATAGAGAGGTACTAGCTTAACTTTCTATTAAAATTATATCAATACTTGAAACTAGGCATGTATAGATAGCGAAGAAGCCTAACTCTAAATAAGGGTTACAATATTATAACACTCACAGTATGCTCTAGTTAGTCTTTCGTACCTCGCAGTACTAATAGTTGTGCCCAGCTTTCTTTGATGCTCTCTGTCCCGACCTTTACTGTGCTTGAATAATGTACATCAATAATCCCAAACTGTAGAAACCTCTTATCATATTACTGAGTCCAGATGTGGCCCTCTTACGTTATCACCTTTTGAATGCCACCACCTCGTCAACGAGGCACAACTCGTGACTCTAGTTTTCCTACTACAATGGTTAGCGCAAGCTATAACGAGCAGAGTATTTATCTCACTTAGTTACGACAGATGAAGAGTTTCATTATCAGCGTCAAAAGTCCGAGGCGATCAATGCTACGTAGAATTATATGTACTAGCTGATTGCCTATAAACTGCTCTCAGCCTCAATCTCGTAAAACCACGGATCGGTCAGAAGTTCTGCAGGTGAAGGCCTCTCCGCAGGATCGTACTGTAAAATCCGTCGTATAAGCGCCTTTACATTGCGCGCCTCCTCCTCGTCGAGATCAGGACCTGCTTCATCGAACCACTCCTCCATGGATGTCTGCTCCTCCATGAGCGGCTCACGCCCGTCCGCAACCCCTCCGAGGCGACAATTAAAGAGCTTTTTCTCGGGCGTGAAGTATAGCGAAGATGTCTTCCAACTGTTGAAGAGTTCGTCGGGCAGGGGGCCGAGCCGGGCAATGAGGGAGAGGAGGTGGTTATCATCTTCATACTTGGATCCCGGTACGCAGAAGAGGGGATACCCAGTGATAAGCTCGAAGATAAGGCAGCCGAAACTCCAAACATCAAGGGTCTTGTTAACAGCCCCAGTAAGAATCAACTCGGGTGCCCGAAGGCCGAGGGGAGTGACAAGCCGTGCCGGCGGATCCGTGAAGAAATATGCTGTTTCGGGTTATTAGGTATATCTTTGAAAGGAACAAAAAGCGCAGGTACGCATTTTAGGTGATACTAACCACCACCCATATCGGATAATTTGATCTTGAAGCCTTCCGTATAGTTGGTGTAGGGCACTAGCGGTTGCGCCATACAGAGATATCGCGGGGCCCACTTGTCTTCTTTGCCGTCTAGCCTCTGTACCGGGGGCGATATTGACTCGGCTAGCTCATCTTCCTCCTGCTGGATTATATCCTCTGGCTTTGAGTCGATATCGTTGAGAGTAAAAAGCATATTTCCCGGCTGGAGGTCGCCATGGGCGATACCATTCTCATGAAGGAATGCCAGGGCTAGCAAGGACTGCTTGAGGATGCTCTTTGCCATCTGAGGTGGATAGCGGACCTTCATGTCCCACTTACGGGGTTTGAATTGAGGCAGCTCCTCGACCATGGTGTTTACACTCGGACCCATGGGCTCGAATACTAAGCAATTGTGAATCCCATTAGGGCCGTGGTGCTGGAATTCGCTAAGTAGCTGTGTGATATATAGGGACGCCTCCACTGGTGCGACTTTTGTAATGTGTCGTAAGATTCGTAGCTCAGTCGGTCTCGAGATTTCCGAGACAAGAAACTTGAGGGCGACATATCTATTATTGCTAAAAAGAAATGAATAACTACAATCTAGGTATAGCATCGCGGCAGACGGCATGGAAGATAGACTCACCTCAGGTCACGCCCTAACCAGACTGTTGAATAGGACCCCTCACCGAGCTTCCGAATGACCTTGTATTGGCCATTGTTAAAGACGTCACCAAGAAGGATTGGATGATAACCACCTGGGTGATAATCTTCTACCCACTCACAGGGTGAGGTAATGGATCTGAATCTCCGCTCGTCCTTTTTTGGGGCCCTTGATGGAGGGGTAGAAGGAGGGGAAAAGCTCATATTCGCGGTGGAAGCCCGTTGTCCAGGAATTGACTAGTGGAATAGGTTGAAAGAGCAGGATTGCGATGAGAGAGTCAAAAGGTTCGGCAGATGCGGGATGCGCAACCTCAACAGGTGCGAGCTAGGATGGCCATGAAACGCTGTTGTTGATTTTCTTCGGCTATCTACCATAAGAATATATGGCATGTCATATCGTGGAAAGCGGGAATGCCTTTACGGCTTCGCCTAGCTACAGGGGGATTAATTGCGAGAATTAAAGTAGCTATTAAGCTAGTGTTACGTAGCAATTGAACCAGCCCTTATATGCTTACATACCGCAAAGCGTATCGTAGGCGTCTACGTTTTACGCAACAGCTAGTTAAAGAAGAGAACCTATCAGCTTCTTCCTTTAAGTTAATCTTATGTTACGTAGGCATGTACCCCTAGTAGGAACCACCTAGCTTACCTAAGCTAGCTAAGTACTACTATATATACCTATAGATCGCTCTATATTCTCTAGTAGCTTTCCTTCTTTTCTAGTTAGTTAATATACCCCTTCTTACCCTTATTTTATTACTTTCTTTACGAATAACTTATTAACCTAAGCTTAGTTCTCGCTAGTTACGTAATAGTTATAAGCCCGGGGTACTTCTAAGGAGCTATTATTACTTAGGTTATTCTAGCGTAAGTAAGTAATATATTTATTTATCTCTTAGACCTTACGATTATATTTCCTTCTTATTTCTAAACCGGTACTTTACTTTCGTATTTAGCTTTAGATAGTCGCTTATTTATTTCGCTATAACGATTAATACGTCCGAATTCTCCCTGGATAAGATTTTAGTTAACGTTTACTTACGAGCTTACGATAAATAGCTACGGTAGTTCCTAACTCTTAAATCGATAGCTACTTAGTTCGGTATCTAGAAGGACGTTAATCTAGATGGAGTTAAGTTTAACGCTACTCGAGTCGTAGTAGGTATTTTTAAGGAGTATATTACTTAAGAGAACGAACTCCTTAAAGAAAATTATAAGAAAGCCGTTTACGAATAGGCGTTAACCCTAACCGAAGACCGAGGAAATTAATTACTAAGGCCTAAGGTACGAATTCGAGAGTAATAAACGGTAGCGTATAATAAGTTCGTTTCCTAGTAAATAACGATCGAGGCTTAGGTTATAGTTATTAGTAAGTAATATAAGGTCCTTTATAGCTAAATTCTCGCATTTATTTCGGTAGGTTTTCTTAAGGTAGCTAATATAGAGATATAATTCCTAAACCTTAACCCGATTATTTAAAATCTCGTAAAGATCTTCCGTAAGTAAATTACTCCTACCGAAGCCGCTATTAAGACGCTCGTTAGGCGAGAATACCGTAAGATACTTTAAAGAATAAAGGTAGGTACTTATAATCCCGAGTAGTTTTACGTTATATAGTAATACGCCTTCCTTCGCGTTCGCGTTTATTATATTAACGAAATTAAGGGCGTTATAGGAGCAAAGGATTTCTTCGAAGTAGTTAAGGCTAAGATCGTAGTCGACTAGGTTATACGGGTATTAATCGCTTTTATTAAAGCTAATAAATTCGGCGAGTAACTAAAGACCCTTAAGTAATTAGGTATCGTATTTAACGTTTTCGCTACCGAGAATAAGTAGAAAGGTAAATTAGGTTATAGAATTTTCGTAATAGCCTACTAAGAACCGATTTTAGAAGCGAAATTAGCTAATAATAGCGGCTAAGGAAAACTAACGAGCTACGAATACCCTTATAAGTCTAGAGGTAAACTATACTTATAAGTAGCTCGTTCTTATGGAATCCTATAAAAGTCCGTTACTAATTAAACTATACGTAACTTAAAGCCGATTCCGGTTAATATTATACGAAAAATTAAAGCTAAATACGACTTACCTAAATACGCTAAGCTCCGAAACTAAATTAACCGCTAGGGGTAGGACGTTCCTATAAATAATATACCTAATAATCGCTCCGGGAACGGGAGAGGAAATAACGCTACTACCTAACTAATTAATATTAGCGTAATAATAATCGACCTACGTATTATATACCTATTTACCTAGATTAGGATCTATTTTACTATGGACTTAGTCCGATACCTACTATCGGAAAGTACCGTTTTCGATAACTATAGAGTAATTTACCTGGTTAATAATCGTAATCTTTTAATAAAGGGGTCGTTCGTTCCCGCTAGAGACGGATAAACGGTCGAAGCTAGTACCATAAGCTTTCCTATTATTAATACGGGTCGTAAGATTATCGAGAAGTATATCTTAGATTAATTTAATAAGCCTACCTTTAATCTAAAGCTTAAGGACGTCGTACTTATTAAAGATTTCTACGTTAATATTATCTCTAAGGCGAAACTTCGTAATATAGGTATTTAGTTTTACGGTTTAAATTATACTTTAAGGAATGGAACCCTCGAGAAAAGTACTATAGTAAGGAAGCTAGAGCGACGCTTTAACCTAGTCTTTTTCGAATTTAAGTAATTCTCTTCTTACTCGTAAGTCCTACTTATGATATTATTTATAATACTATCGAGTATTTTACGTAGCGTAGCGTCGATCGTAATAATACCTTATTTCCCGGAGAGAAACGTCCGGTAGAGAAGATCGAAAGATATTACTAAACCGAGAGAAGATTCCGAGGTACTCTAGTACTAGCGAGTAGGGTATTTTAATCCTAAGGCGCTTAGAGCCTTCGTTAAAAACGCCCGGAACGTTAAGATTAACGGTATACCTATAATTAAGTACGAGTATTATAGTTAAGCGATAGGTAAGAGAGTAATCTCGCGCCGTTTATTAATATATCGCTCGCTACGTTTTTTTTAGAAGGTATACTAGGATTTATTTAATTACCCGGAAGGTTACGACGGATCTAAGTAGCTTATCGTAATTAGGGATAAATTTAGCGGAATATTATAGGTTAAGACCCTAGAAAGTAAGTAAGGTTTATTAGTAATAAGAATTCTTCGATTCTTTAAAAGATAGGTTCGGAAATAATTCCGACTCTTAATTTATAAGATACGTTACGATAACGAGCGTTTAGTAATAAGTATTAAAGGTATGTTTAGATATAAGATCTAGGTAATAAAAGAAGGCATTAATCTCGAACTTCCGCCGGTTAATACTAAGGAGTTAACCGGTAGAGGTAAGAGAACTAGATAGATTATTATCGTTAAATCGATTAAAATAAGGATTAAAGTAAGGCTACTAAAGAAACTATAGCCGGAAACCGTTAAAGCCGCGGTATATTTAATTAATATTAGCCCTAGCTAAGCTTATAATCTTCGTATACCTTACGAGCTCTTAAATACCTAGTTTAAATAGTACTTTAGATAATATATTCTAGAGGTAGTGTAGTGGTGCGGTAAGACATGCCCTCTTAATGCATTACGTAACACGTTACGATAGGCCTTATACCTATATAGAGTAACTATAGCTCCCGTAAGTGCGGGATATGCTATGCTTATTATTTAATTTATTATATAATTAGATTACTATCTTTATTATTTTTACCTTAATTAAAGATTCGTTTTTATTATTAGATTCGCCGTTTTCCGATTAGTATATCTATTTTAGTTATAGGCGCTTAAGTTACTTCGTCGTACCGCTATAGTCGAATAAGTAACTTTTGCGTTTTACCCCTTTTCTTTCCTTATCTCTTATACCTTCGGGCTAGCGACTACTATATCTCTACGACTAAGGGACATAGCTAAGATACGATAACTATATTAGATTCCTTACCTCTCGATTAATATAACGATACTAGTTTTATCTATCCTGGACCATCGTACGTATTATAGTCTTCGGTAGAGTATACTTTCGAGTAAACCTATCCGGGTCTCTAGTATCGCGTACGCTTTACTCCTCTTTAGTAGCGATTACCTTATAACTTTTTCGATCCCTTAACCCTTAATTTACGGAGTTTTTATTACGCTACTAGGATTTAGAGGATACCGATCGCCGTCGGCGCCGCCATTTAACCCGCGAAGTAGCCCGCGTTTTACGTTAAATAAAGTATTCCGCCTTATGGTTATTTATTTACTATAGGGAGGTACGTATAAGCCCGGGAACTTTTATAACGATACTACTACTACTAGGATAATACCTAGCCCTTAATACTTATAACGCTAATAAATTATCGATACTACGATATAATACGACGACTAAACCGCGTTTATACCGATTAAGATATCCCTCGTATGGTTATTTATTTATTATACGAAGGAACCCGTAAAACCCGGAGAACTTTCGTCGTAATACTACCGCTACTAGGGATAGTACTTAGCCTTCGATACTAACCGCTTCCTCGAACCGCTAATAATATAGTATATTTCGTACGAGTAAATAAAGCTTATAGCGATTAAAATAGCTTCCTTATAGTTATTTATTTACTATATAGAAAACGTACGAGCGCCTTAATATAAATTACGATAACCCATACGACCCGTTACTCTTTTACTAATACTAAGGACGGATAAAGGCTAATAATAATTATATCCTAATCGACCTTACGATAGCTTCTTTTTCCCTCTAAACCTATTAATCGATATAAATTAAATATATAGATATTAATAACTTATTATATTAGAGGCATTTTAAAATACCTAGGCGTAGCGATTCGACGATATAGTATACGATATAATATAAATATTTATATTAATAGCGTAGATAGGAATTAATAAACTAATAGCTACTAATAATCGATAGTTTTAAAGAAAACTAGGAATTAATATTAATAAAATTACGTAGATATAAAGAATTAAGGAAACGGAATTAAAGTCGAGCTAATAAGTATACCTATATATAGGTTAGCTTTATATTATTAATTAATAACTAATATAACGAGAAGTATTAACATAGGCGTAAAACGGCGCTTAGCGGTAATACCGTTAATACCATTAAATAACCCCCGATAAATCGAAACCGGCCTATAGCTATAACCGGTATCGTATCTAACGCGATTCTTTACTCGGGATCTATCCCTTATACGTATTACTTTAACGAAGGTTATACGTTAGGAGTTTTAAACCTTAATAAGAGGGATTATCGTCGACTTATTTATAATAATTAAATTATTAGTCTAGGGAATACGTATCGTACTTTAGTTAGGCGTTAGCCGACTAGAGAAGCTCGTATAATACCTAGACCCTATCGATCGGGATAGTATAATAAATAGTAATATACCTATACTAAAGGAAAAGTATTAGGATATAAATAATAGCTATTATATCTTTACCTTTATATTAAATAATAAGACTCCTACTACCTTCCTTTTTACTTTATACCTCGTACCG